ATGTCATGACGATGACGATTGATTTCCTGCGGGCTAGGCTATTAGCTGAACGCTCCGCTTCGAAGGCCGCTAAACAACGTATTCAAGAGCTTGGAACGAAGGTGAGTTAGGAGGGACCAAATTGACTAGGATCTGCGTGTTTAGAGGTGCATTTGTCAAGAACATGGATTTTATAGTTTTGAGCGTTACAATCAACCTTCAGCTTATGTTCACAAGTCTATGCAGGTGATGGAGTTGGAAGAGAAGTTGGAGCAGGTCATTGAAGACAAGAAAAAGGCTGAGAAGTGTGCGGAAGAAGCACTTCTAAAACTATTGACTGGTAAATGTTTCTGAAGACACGCAGAATCATAAAACAGCTTGCTGCAAAACTTATTCTGTTGCTAAAGAAGGGATACAGTTTACAAGAAGGATTCTTTGAGTTTATTATATCTATTGTGCGCGCAGGTAATTTTTCACAGGTCGCCGATTGCACAGCAAGAGCGGCGCAAAGTATAGCGTCCCTCAGCCCACCTGAAGGATTGCACGTTGCTTCAGGCTTGGCATCTGGTGGTGAGGAAATAAAGGAGGAGTTGCAGCGCGTTGAGAGCAGTGTCGGAGATTTCTCTAGAACTAATTCCATTGGAAGTTCTTTAGAGAGCAAAGACTCTGGGGATTCGAGAAGGAAATCGCCACAAGTCCGAAGTGAAGATAGGAGTGATGTGGATGGAAATGGCGATGTTTGGGTGACGCCTAAGCACATATTTGTATCGGAAGGGGAGTCGCCCAAAAAGCTGGATAACAGGTCATTTGAGAACTATTTTATTCTTGACATGGAATTCATTTGTTTTAGTAAATTGAAGGAACGATCTTCCTGTGTGGGTTGATTGATGTATCATGGATGCACACCAAACAATTAACTGAATGTTCACTCGATTCTCCAGAGCCGCAATCGAAAATCGGTTACGTAAAATGTGGTGTCAACTTAGTGCGGATATGTCTACTCTTGCGAAAGATAGCAATAAAGAAGAGTTTGCCCAGGAACAGCTGATGAATTGGATGGATCAAGTACCGGCTGTTCTTCAGGATAGATCTCCTCATAAGCCTGTGGAGCAGACACAAGGAAACGGTGGACAACAGAAGGCTATGTATCCACGAGGTACAAAGGAAGCTGAACATTTTTAAACTTTTTGAGAGCAATGATCTCATGACGCTTCGAATTACGCATGTTAGAGATAAGGAGAATACAATGATTTATTTTTTTGTTTGTTTGTTTGTTTTTTATTTTATTTTATTTTATTTTTTTATAATTTTATTTTTTGCTTTTGAGTTATTGACTGTATCGTGATTAATCGCAGAGTCCCATTTTGAACTATCACCTCCTGAAGGTTTACGAGGCAAAGTTACTGTTCAGGCAGATGCCAAAAGTATGCAACGAGAATGGGACAGAAACTGCTACGAGTCGGAACAAAGGATGGGGCAATCGAACCAGCGCGACTACCCACGTTCAGACTATAACAATGGACCTCATGATTTAGCTGATGACTTCGTGACGCCGCACCATGGGGTTTATCGCAGCAAAAGCTCCACTGACTGCAGTCATCCTCACATGCCCAAGAGCGATGCCCGAAAAGGATTCTATTCGGATTCTGACTTATGGGGTGTAGATCTGCATGGTAGGGACACCAGTATGGATAGTCAGCATAATGAGGGCAATATCGAGCACCGGCAGGGATTGGCCTATCCTGCGGTGGTGGAGCATCCTCTGCGGCAAGTAGAGCGTTCAGCTGCAGTACCCAGGTAGAGTTCTTGTTGCAGAAACTCTGCTCATGTTCCCAGTGATTTTGTTTACTTGTTCCAGCGATTTAAAAAATCTCAAATATTGCGCTGTCATCGGTTTGTAGAATGGTAGTTGACCATATCTATTTATTCTTATTTAATCCTCCATTTCTACTTCATCATGTAGTTTTTTATATTGGAAAAACCATCTGAGCAGAAAATTAAAATCCTGGATAGAATATTCTTATGAGTTTTCTGATCGTGACTCAGTTCGCGTGTTATATCAGGATGGATGGATCAGATAGCCGGGTGTGGTCTGAGAAACAATTGCAGCCTGAGTATCAGGATACATATTTCCAGCAGACAGGAGCCCAATGTGTCAGACGTCAGATTGGATATCCTCCAACGTACTGTGAAAGAGATTTTCAAGGTAGACCTTATGCTCATGCAAGTTTGAATCAATCAGCACAGGATGGATACAGAAACTCCCAAATCGACAATGGAGGTGCGCATCCGATGTTGGATATCCGAGATGGCAACCACAGGTATGGATGAGGTTGTTGATGTTGCTCACTAAGGCAACTAGATCGCTGTTTCCAACTTGTTTGTCTGTGTATCTGCAGTAGCTGGTGGCGAGCTTCTTCCAATACTTGAAACGTGAACTAATTATTTCATCTGGCTGTGATGCAGACAAAGAGATAGCAACCATCCCTACAGAAGCTACCATCAATCAGAAAGGAATCACAGACATGGCCATCGTCGGTCCCATTCTGCTGATAGTAGCAACTGGCCAGCTGAAGAAGACTACAGAGTAGCAGATGTGCCCCAACAACAGAGGAACTTGAGCGGGGTGATTCACCCATCTCATCCTGTCCATCCTGGAAGGAAGAACTACAACTTCTATGACCGTGACCATCACCCATCGTATGAAGACGACTTGATAATCAGACACGAGCCTGGGCATCGGCAAGACAAGAATCTTGATATAAAAGTGAGCCTGAGGCCGTTTCTTTTGGATGATTGGGCTTCAAACACGAGAAGAATTTGCTTCGTGCATTGTAATTTCGTCTTCAGCGTTCCTCGCAAAATGCTTAAATCTTTCACTGCAAGCTTGATCATGCTTCAGAGGGTGACCACTAGTTTACTAGTTTCACCATCTTATTGCCGTTTTTACAACATCTTCACTGCTTGTGCGTATGTAGACCCATGGGTTCGAGCAGCCTCTGCCACATGAGGCCACTCAAAACAGGCCTGTCGACACACCCGAGCCCAAACTTTTCCTTGGATATGGACCTGCTTACGACGCCCCAAAGGACTATTCACCAAATTCGCAGCAGAGTCGAGTGAGCAACAAGTCCAATGTAACTGACGTGTTGCTTCGGTTGCAGAAGGCGAAGGCCAGCATTCAGAAGTCGGGTTCAGATCGAGCCAGGTCAGTTAATCTCTACTCATCTCGCTGCACATTCTCTTATTGATCATCTTGTAGCTTACGTTTTTTTCCTCCCACGGAGAATTCTTGTTTCATAATGTCGTTGTTACCACCATGCACAGATCTAGCACCGACTTCTCGAAGCCTGAACACTGCATGGATCACCGAGTACACAGTACACGATGCTAGAACGCTTCAGAAATGTGGAGCGTCATCATTTGGGGGGGGGGGGAGTCTGGCAGGATAAGACCCTCCCATTCCTTGAGTATCTTTAAATTACACCTTCCCCCCGCCATAGACCTACGTGGGGACCAATTATCAAGTCATTCATTGCCAGATATGATGAAATCGGGCGGGCAGCAACCAACGCATGGAAAACTGCGGAGTCTTATGCACAGCAGTTCATGATAGGAGTTTGCCCACTGTTGCAGGGGATACATATATTAGCCATTCAAGAGTCTCTGCTTTACTACTTTCGACTGTATTGTACATCAATTTTTTTAAGTGATTGAATTATTTTTTAAGGGTAATCCTCCAATGAAGCGAGACACTAGAACAGCAACAAAAAAGCCTAAAAAAGTCTTTTTATTCGAGGTGCGTCATGCTATCTTCACATCATCCTTACCAACAGCCTTTAGGAGCTGTAAATCTTTGCCAGATACTTGAGCGATCTTGCTGACGCTCCCTGTTCCTCTACATAAATATTTTGTATGCTATCAACTGGCCGTCCAAATGATTGATCTGTTGACCAGTATTCTGCATTCAAACAAGGCATCTACTGCACCAGTTTTTGTTTGTTTGAATGGGAGTAATGGCCCTACGTGTATCTATCATCAGAGAAACTGTTTCCATCCACGGACACAGCTCGTCTTCCTTTGTCCGCTTGCCAAAATTCTTACATGGCTTGTGAATGCTCTGATCGTGGGGCTGAACATTCTTCCAACACAGAACAATTCTAAGATACTCAAATCATTCCTAACTTGGTTGAGCTACAGCACTTCCAATTTGTTTGTGGATCACTGCAAGAACCCACTGTCAGACCTGATCAGCAAATTTTTCTTTTTTTCCGTTTTTCTTTTTTTCTTTTTTTAAATTAGTTTTTTTAAGCTAGTCATGTCATCACAACTGTCAACAACTGTGCATTCTGCCAACAATGTAAGGAGTATAAGAAGTAGAAGAAGCAGAAGAAGAGGCACCTAAGTTAGAATCAGTTGGGACTGAAAAGCGGATAGCAACTGGAGGCCAACTGTAGAGGCACACTAGCATGCAAGCTCTCACACACACACATACAAACACTTACTCAGTCTCATGGAGGCATGAGTGTTGTCTTACACACCACCTAACAATTGAGTCCATGCTCCTTCTCTAGGACGAGGCATTTGTACTCTCCTCATCAGTCATTGGGTTTTGCCAACATTTTTGTCACCTTTCTTTTGACTTGTGGGAGGAAGGTTTGATGGATAACATTGACCATGGATTTTGATTATTTGTTCCTGGTATGACTGAGATGAAGATGAGGCTCTCCTGAGCTCTCAAGGCTGATAGTTTTAGAAGCTTTTTCTTGATATATATATATATATATATATATATATATGTATGTGATATTCTGTCTTGACTGGAAAAGCAAAGAATCATGTTCTTGTGTAGTCATTGGTTGTGGAAGTTGGGTGCCATGTTTAAAGCAACCCATAATTTCCTGTTTGATTGGAGTGAATCTCAACAAGTCCAAATTTACTCAGGGGTTCACAGATTAATTAATTGTGGGAGAAAAATATTTTAACACAATGATGCTTGCTGTTATCTTCAAAACATTAGAGTTTACACAGTTGTTCTAATTCTTTTTGGTATACTAATATTTTCATCCATAGCTTGTCATTGCCAAGTTGGATGGGTGAAGAAGATATTATTCTTAGCTTGATATCCAGAAATGATGATTATTTGTAGTAGAAGTTAATCCAAATAATAAAAAAAAAAAATTGGTACATTCAAAATAAATTAACATGTCCACTTCAGTTGGTAGTCTAAGAACAGTCCAAGTGAAGGTGCACTAATTTCAAACAACAAGGAATGCTCAAACTAAACAAATACTAGAATTGAAGCAAACCACCCAATTGTCTCTCTGTTTGATCCCAAGGCTTCCTTAATACCACACACCATTCTCTCCATGCTGAAGAGACTCCCTCATGAATGTTCACATATTAAAATGTAGGAGTACACATTCAAAGGAAGAGTTTTGCATGTATTCTTTGCTCACATGATGTCTCCAATCTCAACACCATCACATTCATGATTTTGAAGAATATATGTATAAATTAAGAGAGGGTAAGAGATCAAATTAACAAAAAATAACATTGCACACCAAGATGGCCACAAATGGCTTCATGCTCCCCCTCTTAATTGGTTAAAATTCATTGATTTTTATGTTGAGAGACTGCTGAAAAGAATGAAAAAGAGCCCCATATTTATTCTCTAAAAATATTGTAATCAGAATAAACATGGGGCTTACTTTCATTCTTTTCTTATATTCTTCAAAGTTCATTCACCAGCCTATTTTCCTCATCTTTATGGTTTGTTATTTTATGCATGATTGTTAAGTAAGTTGTTTCTGTACAGGTGTTGGAAACTGCATTTTTTTTTAGTTGCATGGATTGATCACTATTTATACATGTAAGCATGGATTGATCACTATTTATACATGTAAGCATGGATTGATCTATAAGTTTTAAAAAATTGCAGTTATAACTGTTATAACATATTATAAGTTATAATATAACATGTTATATAAACTATAAACATTTAATATTACAATAAATGTTTAAACGTTAATATTATATAAACATTTAAATGTTATAACATGGTGTCTGCTTTTAGGAATGGTCTATATGCATTTTATAAGTTGCATGGATTGATTGCTATTTATACAAGTCTATTTAGAAAAAGACCATATGATATTTTGATTTAATTTAATTTAATTTTTGTAATGAATTTTGGATGGTGAATATTTTATGAATTTTTTCATGAAAAAAAAATATATATATATATAAATACTAGTGTTATATTTTCAATGAAATACTTGTTAACAGCAAGAATTGCAATGAAATATTACCTCACAAGTCAGTCCATTGCAGGCCCAGAGAAGATTCATCTCCTGGCCTTTGCCCAAACAATCAATTTGAAAGGGCAAAAGCCCAACTGGGTGGATACATGGATGAATGAAAAATAGTGGATGGATAGATGTATTCCATGCTTCTTAACATGTCATTGAGAGCAGCAGCAGGCTTCTAAACTGTTGACCAAATGGGAAGTTGAATTAGCCCCCCATAGTCAACACCCCTTGTTGTGCAGGAAAATAAAATAAAATAAAATAAAAACACCACCACCACCACCACCACCCAGAATGCAAAATCAGCTCAGCTTTTTTACTCTGAAAACACACATATAATTACTGAAAATAATAATAATAATAATAATAATAATAAAATAACATGAATATGCATCCACAGGGTAGCACTTAATGCAAGCTCCTGCCTCAGCCTATCTAAGCAAGTGGATGAAAGGGAGGGAGGGAGGGAGGGGGACACCCCTAACAGGAAGTCTTAATATACCACAGTCAATTCAAAGCAAACCAAAGCAAAGCCCCTCTCTCTCTTGCTCCTGCAAGTTGTCCTGCTTGTGCTGTTGCTTAGCACACCATTCATAAGGCCCCACACCCACCAAACCCTACACTCACCCCTAATACTAGAATCCCACATAAAAGTCATCTTTTTTCACACCCTCTGATGTGAGCACACTCAACTGTGGTTGTGCCAAAACCCTAATTGGTTTTTTTTTCTGGTGCGCATCCTCTGTGCAATCCCCTCTCCCTCACAGTTGTCATCTCCCTTGCTCCCATGTGGTTGCTCTAAAAAGGTGGGATACAGTGTGTGTGTGTGAGAGAGAGTGTGTGTGAGAGTGGGTGTAGTTTGATGTGACATTGGGTTGCAGAGTTCTGATGTCACATGGTGTTTGTTTCTGATGGATGTGTTTGTTGCTAGTCACACTTTGGTGTGAGTGTTGATGTTTACTTGACAGTTTCTATTGATCTTCTTCTTTTATGTTTATTTATTTATTTATTTATTATCATTATTATTGTTGTTGTTGTGTGTGTGTGTGTGTGTTTTTTTTTTTTTTTTTTTTTTTTTTTTTATATATTTCCTTTTTGAGAATATGGATTAAAACAAACAAATAAAAATTGATTATGAAAAATAGATTGCATGTTTTACCACTTGTTTCAGGTATTAGTAAAATAATTCAATGTATGGTGAATCTTTTTCGTATTTATCCAAAAAAAAAGTGATATTAGATAAATATCATACTTTTTTGAGTTTTTTTTAAAGATTTTTTTGAAATTTTTTATTTTTTATTTTAATTATAAATAGTTATGAAAAATGATAATATATATGGTATAACTATTATTGTGTATAATATCACAAAATTAGAATGATTTTAAAATTTTATCAATATTTAATATAATTATTATATTTTAAAATTAATTAATTTTATTTAATATATAGAAAAGGAAAAATATCAAATCTATTGTCACTACAAGATTTATGTTTAATTAAGTATATTTGGAAAATGCATGAGTCATGTGCCAGACCTTAGGACAAAGACCAACAATTCTCAAAAGGATTTGTTGCGGAACATGAAGACATGTTGGATGAGTTTTGTCCTTGGAGTGAGAGAACAATAAAACAAACACTGCTTGACCAAAGAAAGAGAAGGCAGAGCCAACAATAAAGATGCCAAATGATGCCATATAATAGAGTGCCCAACACACTAGAAATAACAAATAACACAAGGTCTTGATGAAACCCCTATCATAGAGAAATCCTCTTAACCAAGAGAGAGAAGAAGAAAAACAACATTGGTGGTGGCAAACATGGTAACTCTAGACCTAAAAAAGATTTAAAGGATCTTTCATTAGCAGACATTATTTTGTAAGCTAACAACTGTCAAGGACAAGAACATGATAAAGACAAATAACAAGTAAGACTTCTCTCAAAGAAAGATGACAAAATAGAAATAACTTGATATATATTGAAAAAGAAACTGGAATGGCTATTGCCAAAAGCCAAGAGAACTAGAGATCCTTGAAACTAGCTTGGAAGCAAGAAAGGAGTTGACAAAAATGAAGAAGGCTTCATTCTTGTCTCTATATATATTATCTAACTAGGAGCTACGTGGCGACATTCTATAAGACCTCCAATATGTGTTGACTTTATAGGACACATGCTTTGACTTACAAGGCAAATTTTTCTACGTGTGTGCCACATAGTTAGCTTGGTCTTCAAGCTAATAACATGTGTGGCACACGGCCAACTTGTTGACCACGTTTCTAATCCAAAAAATCAATTAAAGACACCTATAAAGTCAAAATAGCCTCTATGAAGCTTTTAGAAAGCTTCCATATCAAATACTATAGAATTCACTTACTTTTACCTACTTTTACTTACTTCTACATATTTATACATGTAATTATTGGCTTACATGTGTATGTCCATGACATTACCCCCCCTTCT